AAACATACTTGTATTTTTGTCCCCACTGTAAGTCATGCTCAGAAACTGAGCCTGCTTGCCTATACTACCAGTGAAGTTAATGAGAAGTATATCTTGAACCCTGAGGGGGGGTTGATCCAGGAGGTAAGGGATGTGAGGGAAGCAGAGTAAACAAAAAGATGCTTGAGCAGCCTACACTCCAGCTGGAGAGAAGAGAATTTCATCCGTGGAGGAATCCTAACATACTCTCTCATCTGTGTACTTCCCACAGAATATTCCACCTTAAATGCAGGGGAGGTAGACTGTTTACAAAGTCTCCTGTCCTCTAAAACTTCGTATGATGAGATTCTGTCACTTCTGTCATCAAAAGGTGGAGTCTACTTGTCCTTCCCTTGAATCTATGCTGGCCTGTGACTTGCTTTGGCCAAGAGAATACGGGAATAATCGTTCTGCAAGAGGAAGTGCTTACAGCTCTTGGCACACTGCCACGAGACTGCCATGCATAGGTCATGTGGATTGGAACCCAGGTGCCCCCAACTAAAGCCCAGCGGGGGCCTTGTTCCCAGCTGATTCACCACCTGAGTGCAACCACAGGTAAGTCCAGCCCTAGAAGTGCCCAGTCAACCCACAAAATCAATGAAAAGTAATAAGCTGAGGTGGTTTTGAGCCACTAACTTTGGTGTTTTAATTTTTAATTTTTTTAATGTTAAGAATAGACCACTGAAACACATGCTTCAGGTTCTTCTCTCTCTCTCTCTCCTTACTTTCTCCTTGTATGATCTCATTAATCACAATTTCAGTTCTATTCCAGGAACACTCAAATCTCTGGCTGACTCCACCTGCCTTTTACATTCCAGACTCACGTCTTGAAATGACAGTAGGATGCCTCCAGCTTCCAGCCTCTCCTGGGTCGTAATTTCAGCACATCCCAAACTGAAATCAAAGTGCCCTCAAAGCTCAACTCACTGTTTCCCCCATATTTCCATTGGCATCACCACCATCCTCCATGCATTCAGGCTTAAAACCAGCCCCTGTACAATATTATTCTGAGTCCAGCCAATTCTTCCTCCAAAACGCCTCTAACAGCGATTACTTCCCTTTTATTCCCCTATTACCATTTGCATGGCAATAAAATTTGCAATACAGTAATTTTCTGTGTGGTATCCCTGCCCCACAGTCCACTCTATTATGGGTTAATATTTCCTAAAGTACAGTTGGGACCTTGTTCAACGCATCTCCCCCACCAAAGAGTTTCAATTGCTCCTTTTGAACTAAATTCACACTCCCCAGGACCTGCCCTTCCCTGGGCTTTTACTGGTTTGTCTGTCACTGGATAGACATCTGAGCACGTCTTTATCCTGCAGGAATGTTAACCCCGGAATGAAAGACAACCCGGGCCCCCTAGACAGCCCTCGCCTTCGCAAACTCCGCATCCCTGCCACGCTGACTGCTCAATTTCTATCCGCCCGCTTTCTCCTTCGCGGCCAGGACTGCCCTTCCAGGAGGGCCGATTTCCCAAGTCCCAGCGCAAACACCTCCCTGAACCTCAAGTCCACACAGGGAAAACCGCAGAGCGAGCCCGACCAGCCACGCCCACCCGGTCCCCCTTCGCCGGACGCCCGAGGACAGGGGCTCCCCTCCACACGGTCCAGCGCCCACCTGGTGCCCGGTCCGCGCGGCGGGTGCAGAATGCACCGAGGGCTCCCGCAGCCCAGCACACGCCCCCACCCACCCCCCGAGGTGGCCTCAGGCACCCCGGAGGCACTCGGCTGCCGCTCAATACGTACTCGTCCGACTACCGGTCAGTCCACCAAAAGCCCAAGCACCGCACTCAACGAAGACGTCACGGTCTCGCGAGCGCCAGCCTCCCAGCAACCCCGAGGCCGAGTCTCCACAGCTCTTTCTTCCGCCCCACGGGCAGTCGAGTCTCGGCTTTTCTAGGATCGCGGTCCCGGCCTCTCTAGGATGGCGGCCGCGCTTCTCTCTGGTGCGCCGGGAGGACCCCGTCGCTCCTTCCGCCCCGCGCAGGCGCGTCCCGACGCCCCGCGCCCACCCTCCTCTCTGTAAATCTTTTCAATTAAAAACAAGACGGCAAAGGCAAAACTGAGACTGTTTAGGATCTTCTCAGGCTGCTGGTTAGACAGATAAATGAACAATTACAAAATAAGAAGCACAAGTTCTTAAAATTTAAGTATGCAGATTATAGAAACTCAAGTTGCATAGAGACTGGAAAATGAAAAGTGCACCATCCCTAAGGTCAACCATTGTTAATATTTTGTGTGTGTGTTTTCCCAGGACGCCACCAGCCACATAGTAGCACTCAATAAATATTTATTGAGTGAATATGGACCTATAGGATCACCATAGGATTTTGCACCTCAGCTTTTTCTGTTAAGATAGCTGGGAGATCATGGGACGCCTGGGTGGCTCAGTCGGTTAAGCGGCCGACTTCGGCTCAGGTCATGATCTCGCGGTCCCTGAGTTCAAGCCTCACGTCGGGCTCTGTGCTGACAGCTCAGAGCCTGGAGCCTGTTTCGGATTCTGTGTCTCCCTCTCTCTGATCTTCCCCCATTCATGCTCTGTCTCTCTCTCAAAAATAAATAAACGTTAAAAAAATTAAAAAAAAAAAAAAGATAGCTGGGAGATCTTTCCATACCAGCTTATTAACAGCTAAATAATATTCCATTGTATGGATGCACCATAATTTACCTAACTATCCCTGTTTTATGTGTACATGTATACACATATGTGTGTGTGTATATGTAGGTGTGTGTGTATAC